AGAGAGGAAATAGACGGGATAACCTTCAATGCTCTGAGTGGTTGACTTGGGGGAGATGCTGCTGTAGACAGGGAATTTAAGGAGAGCACAAAGGTGTTGTAGTACCCTAAACTCCTTTGTACTCCTCCCAAGTAGACAACACATAAACCTGAAAAGAAAATTGGAAATTGGGATTCCTCTTTGTCCTGAAAATTAATATTTTGATATCTGAAATAATAAGAGTGTTTTTCTCTGTACAAGAGAGTCCTATAAAAAGCAAACACAAGTATCTTAAGTAGACAGCAACTTACTGTGAATTTTCAGTGTCTTAACTCTGCTACCTAATATTATAAATATGGACAGGGAAAGGGGGGGCGGGGAAGTGAAAACCATGTATTTCATTGATTAACACTTACTGGAGGTGAATTGTAAGACTGTGTCTATGTATATGTATATTTTGTATGTGTAATTATATGCACATCACACATCTAACATTGAGAACAAACAAATCCCATGAAGTCTTGAAACAATTGTAGTACTGTTTTTCTAAACATATTTGATCAAATCAGCACAAACATCCAACTAATAGCATTTTAATGCTGTCTTAACAGGTTTTGTCAGGTTTTTAGAAGGCTACTACATTGTGTTAATAACAAAAAGAAGAAAAATGGCAGATATTGGAGGTCATGCAATATATAAAATAGAAGATACAAATATGATCTATATTCCAAATGACTCTGTAAGAGTCACTCATCCTGATGAAGCCAGGTAAATAATGATTGTAAACTGTATGTGCTTTTGGAATATTTTCTATGCAACGATGAACTGCAACTAGCAACTTTGGTCGTGGATTTCATTCTGTTAGCATGTTATTCAAGAAATTTTATCTCAGTTGATAAATTAGTGTGGAAAAATGGAGAATGGGCTACAAGTTCTGTGTCCTCTAACCTGAAGGGTAAGTTCAACTGTTACAGTCTTTCAAGAGTTTTTTGTCCACATCTTCAAGTCACCTGCATGTCAAAGCTGCATCCTAGCAAATGGGCACCACTTACAAGGACAAAGTAAAGCTAATCCTGGTTTATATTGTTTGGGATACTGTTCTGTTGTTAGTAGCTGTAGCATCATGTTAATGTCATCTGAAGAGATCTTTTGTGCCCTTCAAAAAGCACTGAGTAGGTTATTCAATGATTCTGTTCTGTCAGAATTTTGTGAATGTTGCTGTTGTAAAGGGTGATAAACTAACATACTGGGAAGTTTAGCCCATATTTATGGGGTTAGCCATTTTATTATTCATAAACAGTGTTATGGTTTCTTCTGAGAATTTGCAAGGATGTGACAAGATGAAGTAGGTATTTCTTTTCTTGTTCATTTATTCAAGAATAACTGAAAATCTTCAATTCTTGTATAGTATTGTTGGGAGTTTGCTTGTGTAAGTCTTAGAGAATTTGACCCACATGGAAAACAGAACTAAAAATTTATCTACAATTGCCTAAAGAAACAGAGTACGTATGTGAATAGACACTGGATTAAAAAAGAAAGGACTATTTGATTTATTTAATCTAGATGTTGACATTCTAGTGGAATTACTTGTGAAAACAATTATGCTAAACTAGGAAAGGAATGTATGGCAAGAGTCACTACTTATATGTAGTTTAATTTGTGAGATTCTCTGGAATGACTTCTTGGGGTCTGTATGGTTAAACTAATAATTTTCTCTTTAACTTGAATTACTTTGCTAGGTATCTGAGAATCTTTCAAAATGTGGACCTTTCTAGCAACTTCTATTTTAGGTAGGTATTAGTTACTAATTCCTATTAAAAACCTCTATACTTATACTTGCTGTACGATTATGCTTTTGTATTTTGATGCCCAAGATCTTTATGTCAGTGTTCTGGGGAAATAAGGTGCAGTGACTACACTGCCTGTCCATTTTTATCTGTGTCTTTTCAATCTGCTTTCTCCTTCAACAAACTGGTTAGGAATGTAGTCTTCACGAAGTTAAAAACTATAGAACTATTACTGGCATGGTAGAAAGCAAGACGCTGAAATTACCATTTGCATTGACTGTTCAACCTCTCCAGATTATGCAGAAGTTCTGTCTTTGGAAAAGTATTGTATTTCAGGGGGTTTGCTTGTCCTAGTAATTTTTCTTGATCTTGTTTTCCAGAAATAAAGCTTTGCCTTGATTCAGAAACAAAGAGAGAGAAATAGGTCCTCATCTAAGATATACACTGTGTAGGGTCCATTTTTCATAGGGCCTTGTAGGCATTACCAGTTCTCTTGCGTGTTGTTTTAGAAATGCCATACCTAAGACAAGTTTCTGTCTCCTAGGTACTATTACACATGAGAATTTTGGATTCTGTCTTAGGCTAAAATGGAAATCTGTGTGTATTTCTGATTCAAATGTTGTGTAAATTTGGTTTCTCCTTGGGGAAATGAATCCTAGTGGCTTATAAAGTTTAGCAATTAGTGTAGAGTGTTGTCAGCATAAAAGACAAGAGATTCAGAATTTGTTATTGTTATGGAACTAATAAAAAATCACCTTCTGTTTATTCAGCAGCCATTGCCTTAAGATGCATCTGCTGCAGTCATAAATTTCAGGACAGATGCAGGGTTTGTGGACCAAAATTTTTGTCTGTTTTGAGTTCAGGTAATAGTTAGAGAGTAATACTTAAATCTTAGAAAACACGAGTTTGTGGGTATTTCTGGTGGAATAGCTAGTTTTAATCTTCACAACTGCTTCTTGGGACATAGTGAATTAAGTTTGTTCAAAAGGCATGTTCAGTTTTCAGTTATAAGAAGAATATAAATGTGGTTTCAGCTATTGTACTGTAAACAGTTTCTATGTTTATAAAGCTTTTTATGGAAATATTTTGTATAATTTGATGCGACAGAATCAGAATCTGTACATCTTGTTTAAAAGTCTTTTTTTAGTGGATAAAATAGTACTCTATTAAATATTAGTACAGATGGAAAGTAAGGGCTTTCAGAAAAGTCCTGTACATCTACAATTATTAATAAAAGTTAACTGTTTATCAGTTACAGCTATGATCTATCTCACTCCCTTCAGTATAATCTTACTGTCCTGAGAATGCCACTTGAGACATTAAAAACTGAAATGACCCAGACCCGACAAGAGAGTTTTGATATATTTGAAGATGAAGGACTTTCAACACAGGGTGGAGGTGGTAAGCAAATATGCCTAATTAAATTGAAGTTGTTAGTCATAAGTACGTTTGGAATACATTCCACTTACATTTACTTTTCAGAAACACTTGGGTCTTCTATATTGCTCAGTAGTCTCATAATAGTCATGAGTTAGTATAAGGTTATGTAAAGTGCCATTTACGGACATTTGAACTTGAACAATGCAATTTCTGGAAGTGATTAATCATTGTTTTCTTAATTTACATTGCAACTCGGGGAGATAATTGAGCATACTGACATTTTTCAGCAACTGATTATTCAACTGGCTTGTAAGACTCTCAGTAAGAATTAATGACAAAGGGAGTCATAAGCAGTAACAAGTACTAATAAATCTTTTTTGTTTCATCTTGGAAAATATTGATGGCAATGGAATTGTATGAAGTTTGTATCAACTTGAAGTAGTAAGCACTAACAGGAAGTCTAAGAAAAATTATCAATTTCAGTTGAAAACTACAGCCTTCACTTTGGCTCTAACATGTTCATAAGAGTATAAAGACGACCAGCCAGAAAGGAAAGCTGTTTTCTCTCCCTTTTGCTTTGCATACACACACATGCACAGTTTCCCCTGAAATTCTTAATAATCCATTCTTAATATGGAATTAGGTTTCATTCTGTTGAAGCTCATGTTTTTTATGTTTTATGACTCTGTGACTTGTATTAATTATTTGAATGCTTTTCAATAGTATTTTTTATTTTAATTATTTTTTTTACTTTTTGGTATTTGACACCAATTTTTTCCTTTTTTAATTGTGACATATCAGGAATAATGGTGCTACCTTTGATTCATAATAAATACATTGCTGTAAAAATGGACTCAAACAGCTGTGGAGATTCAGCTAGCCTTCTTGGGTAGTAATAGAACACCATCCTTTTAAATACATAACTGATAAACAAAACAATAGGATATAGGAAGTCTGCTACTATTCTGCTAAACTAATATGAACTTGATATGGAAGCCAGCTTAGATGCAACATCTAGGTTTGTACTTGTATTGGTTATAAAGAGGTTCAACAGCCTCTCTGCGATACCACCCTTAGTAGTCACCCACTGTGTAACCGCTGTTCCACAGAAATTATAATACACAGAGAAATAGAACAGGAATATTCCACTTGTCCAAAAGTAACTGGCTCTTTGAGATAGTATGAATTGGATGACTTGTTTTCCATCTTTTCTAACCCAAAATGAATCTTCTGAGGCACTGAAGAAGGAATTAGTCCTACTTTCTGTGCCTTCAGAGGGGACTCTGAAGATGTGCCAAGTACATAGTTAAAATGCAGAAATGCCTGAAACAACCCCTGACCCAAATTTATGCAAAATATACTTGGACACAATTTGTCCACCTTTTTGTTTTTGACACACTTTCACCACAACATCTAGAATAGACCTACACTGACCACAACTCAAAGAATGATAATGAATGTTAGGTAAGTAACTTATCATCTTTGATACTAGAACTTACTGTGTTCAATAGTTGTAAATATCTATCATACTGTAATTTAAAAGCCTAAAAGTAATGCTGTATGCAGTATGCCCTAAATCTCATGGAAAAAACTGGAAGATAATAAAATTATCTATTTCCTTTTAAAGATAAGCGATCCATCCCAACCAAGAACATATTAGTAACTTGGTGGTCAATATCAGACAATCAGGAATTGGTTGTCAAATGCTACAATGGCAGAAATGACTCCTAGTAGTGGAGGGAGCAATAATTCCTCCTCTGCAAGGTTTCTGACTTGCAAGATCCTTTAGTAATCCATACAGTGGCACAATTTCTTCTATGTCTTTGTGAAAACATTGGGACATAAAGATGCCATAACCTTGACCCCATCGGCACACAAAGTGCCATTTCCAATAGATATTAGTAACGTATCTGCTTGTATGGTAGAAGATGTTTAAGAAATAGCCACCTGTCATTCAAGAACAAATTCTCACCAAAGTAATGCTGCTAGCAATAAGAAAGAGGATAAACTGCTGACCAAGCATTTGTGAACAGGTTCTGCTTAATGTATACAGTCCTTCACCAATATGGTTACATCAGTTTTCCCTGGACTTGTGGTAATTTGAGTGACTAGGTAGCAACAGTTTGTTCAACAGCTGCATTTTCACCTTCAGTCAGTTCAGAGGACTCATATGTTTTTCCCCCAGCAGGACATTCAGTTGCTGTAAGTGACATACATATTACTATGGTAGAACTCATCCTGCCAGAAACTTCATTTGAAAAAAACTATAAAAAAAAAAATAAAATGTAGGTAATAGAGTTCTTGTCCTATTCCTTCTCTTGAAGATTCAGACTCATTCAATTCCCTTTGCCACCTTTAACTGCCAGCTGTCATCTTGGTCCTCATTTTTGAAATGGAAAAATGTTCAGTTTGAGATATGTCTAAAATTGAATTTTAATTACAGGTCTACAATAGCTGCATTTCTTGGTGTCAGTGCAAATTAGGAAACCACAATAAAATATGTGAGACTATGATTGACATACTTTTAAAGGGAGCCAGGGCTATGCATGATTTTCCAGAGGCTAATGGGTAACTCCAAAGCTGACCCATAATTGGAAAGCTCATAAAGTCCTCCTACAAGAGTAGGAGGACTTAACTAGAATTCACAACTTGCTTTAAATAGAATTCACAACTTGCTTTATTTCCCTTATTATAAAATCCTTTGCTGCTACCATATAGAGATCTCTTTTCAGTACTGGAAGTATCAGAAAGTTGTGCATGAAGGCATTCAAATACTACAGCGACTGGTAACCATAGAAAAATTGTAAATCCTCATAAATGCTGAACTTCAACATATTCTTGAAGTTACCTGTGCCTGGCAAACCTTCAAGGATGTGAGTAAGTGGTATGCCGAGTTGCCGTGGAGGGAAAACCAAAGTAGAGGTCCAATGACTTGGATTTTAAAACAGTCCAGTGCAACTAAGCTTGTTTCTTAATGGCTAACTCACTTTCATTGTAACAACTGTATAGGTGTATTTGGGATTTGCAGTAAGCCGTATGAAAAGTATGTGTGGAATGCCAAGCTTTTGGAGGCAGTAAAAAATACTGTTCATCGTGACTGGCTGCTGTACATTATCCATGGATTCTGTGGGCAGTCAAGTATCCTTTTACTGTTGTAACAAATGTTGGTTTATGCATTTATTTTTTTTTTTAAATTTGAACGTGAAATACATTGAATTATTTCTTTTTCATGTAAATACTGTGAAATTTTAGAATTGTTGGGGTTTATTTTCATTACTTCTATACTAAATAAGAAATAACATTATGTTTTAATAACAAGGCCCTGACACAGGTAGACTGCATTCACAGTGATGCACTGCTATAAGCATGGGATTTAGTAATAAAGAACTTGAAAGGATTTTAAGGCTCAGCTGTATTTTTTTCACAGATGTTTGAGGAAAGGGAAAAAAGCTAAACAGTTGAATTGTTGACATGCAAATGTTCTCTTACTAATTGTCTTTAAAAATATTTTTAGTAACTGAGATTTGCAGAAATTCTTGTATTTAACCTGCTTCTGTTGAAGGTGATGGTAGAACTTCATGCCTGCTGTGTGAAGAGAGTTATATAAACATTAGAACATCTGAAAATCTTTTTTCCTGACTGTATTATTCAAAATGGGTAAATGGGTCTACGTACATTGTAGTAGGAAGAGAAAAAGTCCTAATGCATATCATACTCCAAAGAAATGCCATCTCAACATCTCAGCTGATAACATACCAAGTTCTTGCAGAGGCACTCTAATTGTCAGCAGTATCATGTTAGCTTAGAAACCTGTCAACAGAGTATCTGGGGAAGCAAATACAATTGTGAAGTTAAGTTAGTGGTGTCTTTGCAAAATTTAATTTTGCCTTTTCATGGTTGTAAGGCTGCTGGTCATTGGGTTAGTCCCCAGACAGAAAGCTATAGATCTGTTTTAGTATACCACTATTTAATCTTAATCAAAAGAGCTATCTTACTTAATCAAAGTAGTAGCTGTGGATCTCACCACCAGCATTGTGTCTGCAGCTGCTTAGTGAGTGACAGTAGCCTTTGTTCTAAGTATTTGATGAGTAAATGTCTTGCCTCTCCCCTGTGCATTGCTTAAGCTAAGGATACTCATTACTGAGTTATCAGTAAATCGTTTCAGTTGTATGCACCTTTTTGAGAATTTTATTTTTGCTTGCATGAAGTAAGTGAATGAAAAATTGCATGTGACATGTAAACCTTAACTTCTCTTTCAAGAACTGTTAATATATGGTCGCCCTATATATGTCACTCTGATAGCCAGAAGATCAAGCAAATTTTCTGGCACACGTTTTCTGAAACGAGGAGCAAACTGTGAGGTAAATGAAATGTGAATTTAGGTCTTTGTCCCTGTACCTGCAAGACTATGAAAGCTTGCACTGGACTGACTGGAGGACTGAAATGTTTTAGATGATTGTTAGGATTTTGGCTGTAGATTAGGCTATTAGATAATGTTATCACAGCTATCATTACATTTTTAATTGAGATAATAAAGCTGTTCTTGAAATAATTGTTTTCTTACACTTGGAGATACTGTTATTTCCCAAATAGAGGATAAAAATTTAAAAAATGATAATATATATTTAGGGACAAGTGGGAATTTAATCAGTGATGTTCTCACTACTGTGGTTTGGTGTGTTACAGTTTAATTGTAGACTGTAATGATCAGTTCTCTGTAATGCATGCAGCTCTGAAGTGTCATGTCTACATCATATGTGTATTTCTGTTTGTTTTAGGGGGATGTTGCTAATGAAGTGGAGACTGAACAAATACTTTATGATGCTTCAGTTTTGTCATTTTCTGCAGGCAGTTATTCTTCCTATGTTCAGGTTCGAGGATCTGTCCCTCTGTACTGGTCTCAAGATATTTCAACTATGATGCCTAAGCCACCCATAACATGTACGTACAGATTATTCTTTGTGTTAGTTAGCACTGTGTTCTAAAGGTACACCCGAGAGACCAAGTGAAAACTAAATCTGCAAAAATGAATGACTGCTATTTGGGGAGCTGTAGTTTCAGGTAAATCAATGTTCTTTATAATAAACATCATGCTGTACAAGCATTCAACTATATAAAAAGCTACGTTTCACAAAATTTAATAGAAAAAAAGTCTCCATCTTAGGTTTCATGTTCAGAAATAGAATAAAAAAAAAACCTGTGTGAAGTTGTCAGTTTTATTTGTGCTTATTTTGTATACAAAGTTAGCTACATTTATCTTTGTATTGTGGGTAAAATTTTGAACATACTGAAAATGTTGGAAAATGTCTGGGGCTAAGTTAATGGTGCCAGAACAGGTGTTTTTTTTGCAAGCATCTCATGAAAGTTTTGGTTAAGAAGTTGCTTCCAATCTGGAAAGAGGAAATTTTTTTTTAACATCTTTGGTACAGCTAGAGGGGCAAGCATGTAGTTGTATCATAACTATCAGAGAATTACTATGTATTCTGTGAAGAGTACCTTTAAGGGAAAATTATTTAAGTGACTCTAGAGCTCAGTTAATATCATCCTGAATATATATATTTGTTACAGTGGACCAAGCAGATCCTTTTGCACATGTTGCTGCTCTTCACTTTGACCAAATGCTTCAGAGATTTGGCTCTCCCATTATCATTTTGAATCTTGTGAAGGTACAATATTTGAATATGTTCTATATGTTTTCTAATTTCTAATATTATGCTTAATTCTGTAGAGTCTCTGTGTAGTTTTAGTTGTTCTAAACTAATATTAGCTTATAAATTGAATATTTTCTTGATAAATCTCATTCTACATGGCACAGCACATAACTCTCTAATTCCTTCCACTGTTGCCCTTCAAAAAAAGTTGTCTTCCATGTTTATAGAGTTCTTACAGTAACCTTTCACTGCTGTTTGCAGGTTTTTACTACTATCCCCTAGATTTAAGTCCAAATAAATTTGCCACTGAATTTAATTTAGCATAAAAAATTCTAAAATATTATAGTCTCATGTGAAGTGAGGTTTGTAGGCTTCTTGACACGGATGACTGAGTTACGTGAAATATTATGATAGAGACTTATCTTCTGTTGTTTGCTCTGATAGAGTCATGGAAGCATCTGATGCTAGCCAGTGGGCACTACCATTGGCAGCTGGGCTGGACTAATGGGGGGAGCTTCATGATGGCTGCAGCAATTCAGTTCACTTCTGTGTGAAGGGCTGTGATACAAATCCTAGATTCTGGGTGGCACTGTAATCTTGGTTATTACATCGTGTATTTGTGGCAGGATTTGCTTTGTGTTTTCTGTTCTGATCCAGCCCTTTTCTGTGGTGGTATCTGTTTCCACATTTGAGCTTTATTTACTGATTTGTTTTGCTTGAACCATCTAATTTCTTTTTAGTCTTTTAAAAAAAAGCATTGAATCTATCTATCTTGTTATAGAACTGTATTTGGTAGGAAAAATTATCTTCTATATGTGGGTAGGTTCCATTCTTAATATGAAAAAAATAGGGAAAACACCAACTGAAAGCTTTTAGAACGCTTAAGTTGTAATGAATGGCAACAAGATAACCTATTTTCTATTTCTAGAAGCTTTTCTGTGTAGGATTGCTTTTAAGGCTGCCCAAGAGTCTGTGGAATCAACTTAGGATAGCATTTTATCTCTTGCAGCCATAGCTTTCAAAAGCCATTGTTATAGTGTGAGTCTAGGCTCACATGACATTGACATGTGAATCATTATATGGTCTTATTCACAGGACTTTTGATACAGTGGCTAAAATGCAACTCTTTCC